TGTGTGTGTGTGTGTGTGTGTATGTGTATAGTATTATATATTATATTAAATATATATAATGTACTGGTTAGTAGGCATGGTAGGTTGGAGCCGTAATTCTAGTATTCACAGGCTGAGGTCTCTTGACTTGATTTCAAAGCCACTGTGGCCTACACAGTGAGATCCTGCCTTAAAACAACAAGAACAATAGAAAAAGAAAGAAAAAGAAAAACAAGCAAAAAAAGTAGTAATGGTGAAAATGCAGTGCTTTTATGCTGAAAATCACCTGCCTAGGAGTATAAACTAAGAGTCTAAAACTGCAGGAAGACTCACCCGTGTTCTCCTCTCCTCATGGCAGCCTTGTCTGCCTGTTGAGTTACCTTAGTGAAAAACTGGGAACAAAGAACCCAGGACTCACAATGGAAACCACTTCACCACAAAGCATGCAGTGCAGCCTTTGCTTCTCCCAGCTCTGGTGGGGTAATTTTGTATCGATGCTATCCGGTAGAGAGGTCAGCCCTTATCAGAGAGCTCTGGGAGGGCTGTCGTAAATGGCTCTGCAAAGACTTAGTCACAGGGTAGGCTATGCTTCTGCCCTGCAACCTTAGAATCCTCATTTTGGCTGAGCACAGACAGGGACTTTTTCTTTTGGGAACAGACTTGACAGTAGCCCAACCTATTAAGCTGATTCATAGGAGCAGAATGCCATTTTTCAAAAGGACAACAAAATTAGGACACTAGAAGATGGTATCCATCAGTTGACTCAGCCCAGCTCCATGGGAGACAGGTCCATAACCGGAAGGCCAATGCATCGATTGGATGAAGAACTCTGCTACAGGAGCTTGTATAATTCTGTCTGCATGACTCATCATTGTCCTGTAGAGAGACTGTGAGACTTAATAACTAAAAATGGTTAGGTTAGAAAATGAAACAAAATGAAAAAAAAAATCAATTTTCTAATACCGAAAAGAGAATGCTTTGTGTGGAACCACTGCTAGTGAGAGGAGATTGCAGCCACTTTGAACGGCAGTCTAGATTTTTCATTTTGATAGCACAGTCACACATTCCACATGACCCCAGTTCCTGATTTAGGAAATTTTAAGTTTTTAAAAATAAACTTTACACATAACAAAAGGTTTAACTTGTTGATGAATACAATGCCTGTGAATAGTCACAATAAAGAATATTTCTGTCTCAGCAGAAGTTTCTTCCTGTGTCTGTTCTCCATGAGTCTGATTAGCTTTTGATGCTGGGAAATGATCAGGTCCTTGTGCATGGTAGACAACTGTTTCACCTCTGAGCTCTAGCCCTGGCCTCATTGATTGACATTAGATTCTTTTACTTTCATCTGGACTCTTGTGACATTTCTTAACATGGCTGTATGCAACTCTGCTGGAGTTTCAGCTCTAACCTACCATGCCTGGTAGCTAGCACATCTAAAAATATTTATTTATTGTGTGTGTGCGTGAGTGTGTGAGTGTGTGTGTGTGCATGCTATGGCTTTCACATAGAGGTCAGAGGACAGCTTTTCATATCTTGATAAAAACTTTTATGGCAGAAAGATTACAACATGTTTTTAATGCTTCCACTAATTGTTACATATTTATTTCCCTTTTTACATAGCTGTAAAGAAAGCTGTTGTGAAAATCCTTCTATGGTTTTTATAAGTAGATATTTTAATTTTTTTTCTTGTGAAAACTGAACACCACATGATGTCATTCACTTTGAATCTCAAAATATTGACTTCGTAGGAACTGAACTTAGCATGGTGTGGCAAAGGTGTTGGGTGAGGCTGGAAGATGTTATTTAATGGTTACTGAATCATAGTTAGGAGCAAGGATTTTGGTGTTCAGTTGTAAAATAGGTTGATTGCAGATAACAATGACTAATCTACAAGAAAATATTCTAAAAGGTTTTGCTGTAAATAAATGATAAACATTTGAGGCTGTAAATATATTAAACGTTATTTAAGCATTGTACCATATATACATGTATAATGTCAAGTTGGTAGGGGCCATTTGTGCTGAGGTCCTAAGTAAGGTTTGTAACAACAAAAAACTAAAGGAATTGGTAGACCTCTGCAAAATCAACTGAGAAGAGAAACCCTCCAAGGTGGTTGGGTACATTGTGCAGTGATTAAATACTACAGAAAACAAACTAACTAATGGATGGGGAAAAACCTAACAACCCAAACTAACAAGAACATATAAAAGTACTTGAAATTCAAGAGATGAACACATAAAAAAAAATTGGCTCATTAAAAAAATGTATCTAAAAAGAGCAAAGCTAGGATTCAGAAACTTAATGTTAAATTTTGTCTCCCTTCTCCAATGGTTCTAAGAATATATTATCTTAGAAGTTAGTAATTCTCATCCATTAACAGAGAGGCTTCCTCCGGCAGCTTATGGGGAGCAGATACAGAGACTCACAGACAAATATTAGGCAGAGCTTGGGAACCCTGAGGAAGATGGGGAGGAAGGACTTAAGGAGCCAAAAAGGCTGAGGACACTAGGAGAACACAGCCCACAGAATCAACTAAGCAGGACTCATAGGGGCTCACAGAGACTGAAGCAGCAATCATGGAGCCTGCATGGGTCTATACCAGACCCTCTGCATACATGCAATTGTTCTTTAGCTTGAGGTTTTTGTCAAACTCTTAACAATGGGAGTAGGGGTGACTCTGACTCTTTCTTGCTAGTGGGGCCTATTTCCTCCTACAGGGTTGCCTCATCCAGCCTTGATATGAAGGTACTTGCCTAGTCTTATTGCATCTTGTTATGCCAAGTTCAGTGGCTATCACCAGGAGGCATGCTCTTTTCTGAAGGGAAATGGAGGAGCAGTGGATTTGGGGTAAGGGACAGTGTGTGTTGGTGTGGGAGAGGCTGGAGGAGGGCAGGGAGAGGAAGCTGTAGTTGGGATATATTGTATGAGAGGAGAATTAAAAAAAGAATTCTTATTTAACGACTGTGTTAAATAGCTGTTTGAAGGGTTGGAGAAATGACTCAGTGATTAAGAGTATCTTATATTCTTTCAGAGGATCTGAGTTCAGTTCCCAGCATGCACATGGCAGCTCACCACCATCAGCAGCTTCAGTAACATAGAAAGCAACACTCTCTTCTGATCTTCACCTGTACCAGACATGCTCATCACGGCACCCGCCCCCATAAATGAATATAATAAAATTAAATTAGTTATTGTAAGAACTTTTAAGAGTGAACACGCAAAGAAAATTCATATTGAGAGGTGATTAATGATAGTGGCAGCTGATGAGTTCTCAATTGATAATTGAGAAGTAGCAGTAGAGTTGGAAGATTTCAAGATGCATTTAAATATGATTTAGGGGCAGAAAGAAAATAATGATGATCACTGTAATGTGAAAAGAAGTATAACATTCAAGTAACATACAGACTGAATAGCTTATCTTTATATAATGGGGATATATATACATATATATATTTGTATATGCATATGTATGTATGTATGCATGTATACATGTATATATGTATATATGTGTAAAAAGAGGATGTGAATTTGAAAGCTTCCTGGGGACAGTCTTGTAGAGCTATGGGCCATTCACCCATCTTACTTTCAAATAAAGTTATGATAAAACCAGTTTGTATGGTGAGAAGCCTGTGAATAAAACATACAGATAAAGTGGACTGCACTATCTGACAAGTAGTCAAAGTAATTATACTAACCCGCAGTAGTTAGTTTTTTCAACTTGACCGGATTAAGAGAGGTCTAGAAATAGTTAGGCATGCCTCTGGGTGTGTCTGTGGTACATTTTCAGGGATGACTTACGTGGAGGACAGTAACAAAAGGGAGAAAAAAGACCTCTTCTGAAAATGGGAGGCACAATCTAAAGGTGCTGTTCCCGGTTGAAAATAACTGGAAGAGAGGAAGGCAGCATGAAACTTCTAGCTGCTCTCCATTCTGATTGTGTCTGTTGCTGCTGCTATCATCTGTACATTTCAGATTCCACTTTGTTAGAACCTTTGACAGAGTGCTAGGGACTCTTCAGGGAGCTTCTATGCCCTCTGCTGGATTGTGACTACTGAGACATTCTAATTCTTACAGTGACTACTATTTTTTGTTTGTTTATGTTTTTGCTTCTCTAAGCACACAGATAGTGTTGGATTGAATAGCTAACCAAATAAATTCTCTCATCATATTTACTAAATTCAACCCTCAATAAAATATATTTACTACATATTATATTTCTGTATCCCTATGACACATGAATGAAAATATTTAAAAAAAGAATATTGTATCAGAATCTTCTTGGCTGTTAATAGAAGAATATAAAAATCGTGTTAACTGTGTGGTGGCGGTGGCACAGCACATGCCTTTAATCACAGCACTTGGGAAGCAGAGACAGGTGGATCTCTTTGAGTTTGAGGCCAGCCTAGTCTACAGAGAAAGTTTCAGAACAGGCTCCAAAGCTACAGAGAAACCATGTCTCAAAAAAAAAAAAAATCATGTTACCCTTTTACAGGGAATTGTCACAAAAGGACTCTGGATTGAACCTTTAATATTTTTGTACATAATCAGTAAGAATGTCCACATTATCTTGAAGATCCTTGAGGAATTTTTGAAAGTTAAACTTTATAGAGTTTAACCATACATTAATTGTTACAGAATTTTTAGATACTTATCTTAAAAGTCAGTATCTGATTTTCCAGAAGTGGTAATAATAATTATGGACTTACTCTGGCAAGAAGTATTCTAGGTCCTAGAGGCATGGATGTAACCATGTAGATCTACAGAGCCACAGTGCATCAATTAATTTTTAGTGCAGTAGATAATAAACAGACAAATACAACAAGGAAAAACAAAGGGCAAAGAAGGGGATATGTTTACTTGAACAATCACAGCATGTAACTATATCTGTAGCTCAAATTTTAAAGTTTTGATTAAGTTGCCGAAGTAAGATATAGATTTGATATAGATTTCAAACTAGAAATTGAAGCTATTATCCAGCTCTGATTTTTGCTATTATTGAGTGTATATAGTAAAGGAGTTTAGTATTTCCACTTGGATGATGGGATTATCATTATGGTTGAGAATTCCCTTGAGTTTATATCAATTAGTAGAAAAAGACAGGCAAGATGAATGGATTTGAGATGAATTGTCCCATGTGATTTTGGTTTTCATTCTAGTAGATCCCTCAATGATACGGATAACTCAATAGTACACATAGCAAATGATATCAAAGTTCATAGGAAGACAGTATATTGAAAATAGAAACCCCAAATGCAAAACAATGTTGACATACACACCAATATGGAATGGATTATTCAAATAATATAATAGTCACTAACATGTTTACAGCATCATTTTCTTTTCATTAAAAGTTTCTGTTGACAATAATATTATTTCTATCACTTTAGGCAACACTGAAGCAGTTTTTTTTAAATACTTGACATCAGGGAATTCAGCTGAACACAAGGCTTTATATCTATTTAAAATTACCCAAACCAAAAATCATTTTGAGTAGTAT